CACTTTCTCCTGGAAACACCAATCAAAAATTCTAATTAAAATATCACAGTTGATGAATAAGGGAATCCCCCCCCCCCTTAAAAAAAGTTGTCTTAGATCTTCGAAAGTCTACATGTATGTTTTGATTAAATCACAGGAGTTCGCGTACCTATCAATTTTACCGAAAATTTCAGGAAATAAAAAAGGTATTACGTATTTTTTTTTATTTCCTGAAATTTTCGGTAAAATTGATAGGTACGCGAACTCCTGTGATTAAATATTAGAATTACATATATACATGTATGTAATATATATTGCTTGATAAATAAAGTCAAAAAGTATCATTTAAACCTTAATTTAATGATAAGAAAATGACCAGACGTATTCCTTAACTCCCTGATACAATGATTAGTATTTGTTCCATGCAATCATTGTCTCTGTTTTGGGCACAGTAGTAAAACTAAGAATTGAATTTCAATGTTTTGTGTGTGAAAATCAATGATTTTTTTTTTAAATAAGCATTTTTGCACTTCAAAATATACAAGATTAATCAAGTTTCATTTAAATGTCGACTTGAAATATGATTCCCATCGAAATCAAAAAAGTTCACTAGAGCCTGCTACATCTGTCTCATAACTAGATGATTTCTAACGAAAGGTGAGGCGATGGGGGCAACTAAAACATGACAACGGAATGACTTAAAACTATGCGACATTTAAGTCCGTACAAGTCATTGTCCAGACTTTATACTACATATACCGTTTCTAAATGTGATGTCCGAAAACAAATAATAGCACTTATTTAGATTTTTTTATCAGTATCACAGGGTGTCATTTTGACCTCACAAACATGTCTATCTTTAAAGAAACGAAGTCCTAAAAGTTAGAATCCCATAGGAGAATGGTGGGAATTTCTAGTCCCATGTGAGAAAAAGTGCATAGGAGTCAGAACGGGGGGGGGGGGGGGGGGGGGGGGGGGGGGGGGGGGGGGGGGGGGGGGGGGGGGGGGGGGGGGGGGGGGGTTAAGCAGGCCTTGAACATTGTGGCGTAGGTTTAGCCTCCCCTTTAAACGGCGTGTTCCCATTTCGCCTTTACTGAAATACTTTTACGAACAAGATGTGTTTGTGAAACACTATGCGCCCGGCGGCAACAAAGATCGAAAAAGCTATTTTTAGCATATATGTCATAGTTAAAGTCAAAGGTCATTGACACTAGTTTCATTTGAAAGATTTTTATTAGCGAAATCTCTATTTATTTATTAATTAGTGAAGTCTCTATTTCCTATGGTTCAAAAATTATGGCGAAGGTACGAAAAAGCTATTTTTAGCCTATAAGTCAAGGTCACAAGGTCATTGACCTTGGTGTCATTTGAAAGAACTTAATTAGTGGAGTATGCAAACCAAATATGAAGTCTCTATCTTCTATGGTTCAAAAGTTATGGCGAAGGTTAAAGTTGACAACAGACAGAGAAACAGATAAACAGACAGACAGACAGACAAGACAAAAAAAATATACGTCCCGATCTATCGATCCGGGTGCATAAAAAGTTAAAAAGTTCTAAGGCGAAATGGGAATTTTAGTATTTGTAAATATTATTACTGGATTGATATAACGTTTAAATAAATAAATATTTTTTTTAGATTGAATTTAGCAGTTAATGGGAATTTATGAATACAGTGAATGAATTAATACATGTAATACTTGATGCTAAATATATTAAATCTCCATCACATTAATTCACCTGAGAGTTTACTAAGGCGAAATGGGAATGCTAAATTTTACAGTTAGGCGAGATGGGAACAAACCCTTTCAACAAGCACATTGCAGTTTAGGTCAAATTAAGGGTAATTATATTGTTTGTAAAAAAAAAAAAATTGGGAATTCAAGAAGTTCGACCCTAACCCCCATACCCCTCCCCCACGAAATGGGATTTTCGTGTTTCGACAATGGATGCATTTTTTTCTTTACCTTGTCCATTTATTTTGAATTTTTTTCCTGTTTAACTTATCCCTCTCACTTTCAGTTTGCTTCCGACGCCAATGAAGTGTCAGATGGGATATTTTCTCCCATTGGCATTTTTTCTCACACAAATTTGATTTTCTCACATACATTATTAAACATGGGATATATCCTATGTATTATGATAATGATAGCTCACTCATCATAATCTATGATTTTGCTGGAGAAAACAACTGTATTTTTTTTACAAAAATTCTTCTTTTTCTTTTCTTAATCTTTGTTTCGTTTTGAATTACCTTTAAATTGTAATTTTTTGTTTATAATTATTAAATTCCTTCAGTTATTACGAAATAACAAAAAAATCGTCAGAAAACATTACATGTGTATGTGCCGTGTACATGAATTGCCGTGATAATAATGCATTTATAAAAAAAAATATCGAGGGGTTATTATGGACCCTTGATGTACACCTACTTGTTCACTTATCCAAAATCAGACTTGACTCTTCCAAAGCACTGACTTGATATGCTTGTTTTTATCAGTAATATTTTTCATAACAACTTCTTGAAAAAAAAATATTGGGTTAATATGCATTGAGGTCGCGCAATGTTCTAATTTTTGTTCTAAATCTTGTTCTAAATTTTTATGGTTTAGCCATGTTCTAATTTCTGTTTTAATATTTTACACCCACACGAGTTATATCAATAACAAAATAAAACAGGTGATGCCTGCGCTCAAGTCACCTATTTCTAAACTATTATCAATATTTCAAGTGCTCGATAATTTGGTCAAACCACTTAAATATAGGTACAAGCAAGTTCTGACACTCTACATTAAAGTATGAAACAGTTCTTATAGATAAAAGTTTATATTGATTATATTTTTCCTCCAAGAAGTACTCTATTTTTCGGAAATAAGAACACGACGCATGTAATAATGTCAGACTTAAATAATCAAAGATGATAATTAATCATTTCTTTAAAAATCTGAAGTATGGTTTATAAAAGAAAAAAAACTCCCTGTGGTAGGTTGTATGGATCACCTGAATTACCTGATATATATCATACAATTATCATTGTGTTTCTAAAGTTTTTTCGTAGTCGGATCCAGTGAGTGGTGCAACAAGCATCAGCATGACAGTTTATATAAAACAGTCAAAACTATCCCAAAAAAGTATTCTAGTACGACAGCTTTCAAAGTGTATAGATTTTACAAAATCAATATTGATCATTCGGCTAAGTGGGTAATATTTTGAATTTTATTAAAAGCTTATGTGTTATCTCGACCATCCTTTCCAGAACAAATCGTTTTCCGTGGTAAAGTATTTCAAGCCTAGCAAACAGCGGGAATGATCGAGGATAAAATAATAACTTTTTTTAATAGCGAGATGGGAATTTATCGTAAGCAGTGGCGGATTTAAGAGGGGCGCATCCCATTTTTTTTATTTTACGGGATCTTTTTTCAAAAAAAAAAAAAAAAAAAAAGCATCCTGGGCACCAATAAAGCATACTAGTGTGATTATGCAGGTAAATTTTCAAGTTCAATTTAATTGTAAACCCTTGGCCTTTTTTAAATACATACAAAAATTTGCATTTATGTACAATAATTTAAAATTACTCTTATTTTTGGATAAAGTATGCATTTGTTAATGAAATCAACTCACTTTAAATTGCTGATTAAGCATCGACGGCATCAATTTTTTTTTTATAAAAGCTATTTTTAGCATATATGTAACAATACAGAACTTAATATTAAAGAAATTATAAAAGAAGATACCAAATATGAAGTCTCTATATCACTTGTGGTTCAAAAGTTATGGCAAAGGTACGAAAAAACTATTTTTAGCATAAAAGTCACAGTCAAGGTCACAAGGTGATCTTGGTGCAACAAGATTAATTATTGGGATATGCATGACAGTTTATATAAAACAGTCAAAACTATCCCAAGAAAAGTATTCTAGTACGACAGCTTTCAAAGTGTATAGATTTTACAAAATCAACAGTCTCATCATTGCGGTAGATTATAAAGTTCTAATATTTTGAATTTTATCAAAAGCTTGTGTGTTATCTCGACCATCCTTTCCAGAACAAATCGTTTTCCGTGGTAAAATATTTCAAGCCGAGCAAACAGCGGGAATGATCCGGGACAGCAAAGGTTGATCATCATTATCAGATATACTTGGTACTTTCTAGGCATCCTTGATCCATAGTGGAAGAATAAAAGAGGCGACTCAACTTTAGAGAGTTAGCATTTGTCATTTACCTTTCCGTAAGATAATAATCCCTTTTCTGGAAACCAGGTCGGGTTAAAAAAATGTAATTTAAAAGTGTAAAAGAGCACCAATAAAGCATACTAGTGTGATTATGCAGGTAAATTTTCAAGTTCAATTTAATTGTAAACATTTGCGTATTTTACTTGGCCTTTTTTAAATACCATACAAAAATATGTACATTTATGTACAATAATTTAAAATTACTCTTATTTTTGGATAAAGTATGCATTTGTTAATGAAATCAACTCACTTTAAATTGAATCAAGATGAATTGTTTATGGTAAAACAAGATGTGTTTGTGAAACACTTGGATTTATATTGCTTAAAGCAATATGAGCTGCAACTTTGATGTCGGAATTTTTTGTTGCAAAATTCATGAAATTGCAAATAACTCTTTCAATGACAGAAAAAAATTACGCTAATAAATATCTGTTGTCCATATTTGCGATGGATGAACTATTTATAAGCTTCGATGGAATCAAAATTACATTATTGTCGTCCTGTACAATAATGATTTCTTATATAAAACTGTATATTGGATTTGTCTATAAAAGTTTTTTTCTGCTTTATTTTAGACTGATTGATCATAAAGGTTTAAGTTACATACAAATTTATCAAAATAACACATTTTAACAGCAAAATAAAATTTTCAAAAAAACAGCTCATATTGCTTCAAGACGTGTTTCTTTAAAACCATAGTTCAGCTGTAGATAAATCACTCAACGTCGTCACGAAAAGAAGAATCAGAAACTTTTTTTTCTGGTGCATTTCCGCATTTGTTTCATTTTCAGGGGTTAGCCATTTTACACGTCTCGGAAGATGACGGATGTTGACGAGCGACTTGATGATATTCTTGAGAAAGTTCTAGAAGAGTCCGGGGGGTTGGGGAAGCTTCAATGGCTGCTGATCTTCGTCATTGTCGGAAGTAAACTCGCAATCACATGGAGCATGTTCATGATGACGTTTGCCGGAAGTACACCTGACTGGTGGTGCGTTTCGCAGAATGGAACTTCCGGTTTGAATGACAGTAGAATAGAATCACTCAGATCCTGCAGCCCCCCTCTCAACACTTCCGGTGGAGACTCCTGTTTATCAATACGCTTTAGCAATGAGAAAAATACAATTGTAAATGAAGTAAGCGAGTTACATTTACTCGAATAAAATTCATCTAAATTTCTTTTTAAGTACTGACTAATTCACGAAGCTCAAACTTAAGAATGTAATTAAGAGAATAAAATTAATGTGAGAGAGGGAAAAAAAATTATAGCATCTGTAATTCTATATTCGGCAAAATAAAAAAAATGATAGACAGGTTATCACATCAGATGGTAATGAGAAGTTTCATAAAAAATATCGAATCATGTCATGACTAGTACTTCGATTTCAGTGGTCCCTGATTTGTGAGGAGGAATGGATAACCTCTATCGTCACCACTATGCAGTTTGTGGGACTTCTGACCAGTGGCTTTATCGCGGGTCAAGTCGCTGACCTGATTGGTCGTAAGCCCACCTTACTCCTGTCTCTCACCCTCCTCGCCTCCAGTAACCTCGTCTGTGGATTCTCCACCTCTTGGGAGATGTTTGCCTTTGCGCGGTTCATGATTGGATTAGCCTGTGGGATGTACCTGACGGTGTTCTTTAACTTTGTGTTGGAGTTTATTCCCACTAAATACCGAGCGATGATAATGGCGATCGACACATGGCCTGTCAATGCAGCATTATTTGGTCTTGTTTCCTTCTGGTTAAAAGACTGGCAGTATCTACATTTTGCAACCTTTTTGATAACTATTCCATTCCTTTTAGGCACAATGTAAGTTATTCCTCCCGCGGGTGCAATGATTTTTTCGTTTTGAATTTTTTCGCTTTGAAAGCGCAAAACAAATCTAGTTTCTATATAATTTTTTTTTTTACTTGCTTTCAGTATGGTTCCTGAGAGCTTCAGATGGCTGGTTTCCCACTTCAAAACGGAAAAAGCTGAAAAAGTCATAGAAAGAATTGCTTTCATTAACGGTAAAGAGAAACCGGATGTGACGAAATTGATTGCAGTAACCCAGAAAGAGGCTGAAGCGGAGGAAAAGAAGAGTTATTCTATTTTAGATATATTTAGAGACGCCAAACTGACAAAGCATTCATTCTTGCTTTGGTTTATATGGTAAATGCTTTAAACTAACCTCTTTTGATTTAAAATTTTAGAACTATTAAAACACATTCAATTTTTAGATCATTTTTATGTTTATCTTTCTATTGAACAGAATGGGGGGATGAACCAATTTTTATCATTCATTTTTGAATTCCCCCAGGCTTTCTAGCGGCTATTCTTACTATGCCATTTCATTTGGTGTGGAAGAACTTTCGGGAGACCTCTACCTTAATATAATCCTCCTAAGTGCAGTGGAAATCCCGGCACAAGTAGTCACTTGGTACTTTAATAACTGGTGAGTATTAGTAAATAACTCGACATTGAGTAGGTCAACCAGAAACGCACAAAACTTGTATTGACTTTTTTGGACTTGATAGATGGACTTAGTAACGTTGTTTATACGGTTTAGGAATGATAAAGTTGTCAGAAAATTTTGTTTTTCATTATTGGCAGACGTTGGACGTACTTTATGTTTTATATGATCGCCCGTTTTTTTTTTTTTTTTTTTTTTTAGTATTGGCAGACGCTGGACGTGCTTTGTGTTTTATATGATCGCCGCTGGTGGTGGATTAGCAGTCGGGATCGTGCAGATATTTGGTAATTAAATTTAGACCCACATTACTAAGGATTTAATAACTATATGTCTTGTATAAGGATGCAAAGCCAGGGACCATCGACAACTCAAAAATTATGAAAGTCAATCATTGATAAATTCAAAACGAAATTTATATCTTTTGATATTACAGATCCTGTAAACAGCCGTGTCGTCATTAACGTGTGTGCTATGGTGGCTAAGTTGGGAGTGGCGGCAGCGTGGGCCGCCGTCAAGACGTTTACCACGGAGACATATCCCACGGTCGTCAGGTGACGTATTACACGATTTATGTAATCTTCATATCTCATTATATCGTTTTTTAGTGGGGGTGACTGGGTGGGCGTCAAGAACCACATTAATCAAATTACAAATAACTTCTCGAGTAATAAACAGATTTATGAGTAGGTTAATTAATTAAAGAGTAACTTACTTCAACAAAGAAACGATGGTAGTTATTCTAAATGACCTATGCGGGAAAACCATTTTTGTCACTTGAAGGTTCTTTTCTGGAAATAATCTTGAAATTCTTCATATGTATATCGCGTTTCATGTGTAGGATAATCTGCTCCACACTTATTCACAATTTATTTGCATGTACACAGTACATGTATTTCAGAGGCGTAGTCACAAACTTAAAAGTGGGGGGGCTCAAGTCCAGAAATTCTTTGACAAGCAAAAAAATAAAAAAAATAAAAAAAAAAAATTAAAAGTGGGGGGCTCAACTCCAGAAATTCTTTGACAAGCAAAAAAAAAAAAAAAAAAAAAAAAAAAAAGGAAAGTTCCCCAAACACGAAAATCCAATTTCGGGGGGGGGGGGGGGGGGGGGGGGGTAGAGGCCAACTTTTTCAAAGGCAAGTTACTTTCAATTCCAATTTACAAGGTTCAAAAAGTTCCATTCAATGAATATTTCCTATAGTAAAGGTAATGTTGGGGAAAAATAGCTGTGATTTTGTTCTTCTTTAAAAAGTGGGGGGGCACAGACATACTCTTGCCCCCCCAGATCTGAAAGTGGGGGGGCTAGTGCCCCCGCTGCCCCCCCTGTGACTACGCCTATGTATTTTTAATTTAACCAGATTATTTTTATTACAGAAACATTGGATACGGTTGCGCAAACTCCATTTCCGGTGTTGGCGCTATGGTGGCTCCTCAGATTGTTCAAATGGTAACGACTGGTTTTGTACTATTGTGTAAATTCATTGTTAAAACTTAATTTACAGATATTTCCGTTCACACAAAAGAAAAGAAAATGATCAATTTTAAATATAAGTTCTATAACGTCCCTTGTATTTGTGTGAAAAATTAAATTAAAGTTTAAACAAGGTGTGTTTGTGTAACACTGATGCACCCGTATGGCGGTTTATGGCGAGAGTTGAACATGTTTGATAAACTCAAAAGTCAAGGCCAAGAGGCCATTTATATTTAGTGTTACCAAATTTAAGAGAATGGTCTTGTCACATGGAATGCACCTGTGAAATATAAACGCCCTAGCCCCACCTACTCAAAAGTTTTTGACAAGGTTAAAGATTTTTGGAGGACAGGACAAAAAATATATATCCCCGAATCTTCGATTACGGTGGCAAAAAAGTAAATAATGGCCTACTGACTTAGAAGCGTTTCAATTTATATGTTAGTGTTTCTTTGTTCAATTTCATTCCATTACGTGTTTTTTTTCTTCAGAGTAAATCATTTCCGGGTATGATGTACTTCCTGTGCGGTACACTGACGTTTTTGTCCGCCATATCTGCGGTTCTTGTTCCCGACACGAAAGGGAAAATCATGGAAAATCAAATTCGGTCAAGAAAATCGGAAATCTTTACAATATCCGTTGGTAAGTTAATATTGATTTCACACACAACATTAGCTTAAACTTTTAATGTTTATAATTATTATGTAAACAAAAATTGTATAGTTTATATAAATAAAAAAGAATTAGATAACTATTTTACCTAGAAAATAATTATTTTTTTCATTTTCAACGATTTTTTCCACAAATATATTTCGCGACATAAATTTTCTATATACATGTAAAATATGAAGTGTATGCTGTCGAGGTTCCCTAATGTATTTTAAATATTTTATATGACATTTAAAAGAAAAAGAATTGAAGTTGTATGCGTATCATTTTTCTCTATCAAAATATACTAATTTAATAATTGTATTTATAAAGAGGCAGATTGTGTGTCAGACTGAAACATCGCAGCAGTATATTCCAGCGGGAGAAGTCATTATTTACCAACATATTTCGCGCGAAGGAGTCATTGCAGCATAATTCGTTTTTACATCTACATTTATATCCCTTTTGTCTACACGTATACTCTGGCAGTATTAATGTGGTCTTGTTCTTATTGTTTTTGTTGTTGTTAATGAATAAATCGTGAAAAATATTCTACTTTTCATGTTTAAAAAGTCTTATTGCCTATGTACTTGTTAATGTATGAACGACTTTCTTTTCTTTTATTTAAAGTTATCTAAAAGCTGGATTTCAAAATTAGCTCCGGCTGGAGTATAAAAAATCTGATCCCACTAGTGCAATTTGAGATGGATCTGTGTAAAAACTTGGTTCATTTATTTTCCTTTGATATTTCTGTGGTGATATATTCCATATCATATGCGATGATACTTTCCATTCCCTTCACCTTTCACTGCACGAGACACTTCTCGCATTAAAAATTAAAACGTAAAAAGCCTAAAAAATATGACTAAACTGAAATGCTACTCAAGTCGAATCGCCAGCGTGGCGCAGTGCTTAAAGCGTCTGCACTACAGATATGATGCTTACGACGCGGACTCCAAATCCACTGTGGGACGTGGAGACCAGACCTGGGGGCCATAAAAGTTAGACGAGCTCACTTTTGATCTCAGTCTCACTTTTTTCAAAGGAATATATAGCGGAAAAGTGAGACTGAGATCAAAAGTGAGCTCGTCTAACTTTTATGGCCCCCGGGCCAGTTCTTCGGACGAGACCGTACAAACCAAGGTCCATTGTCGTAGTAGGCACATGCATGAACGAAAAAGATGCCTCATTGCTAAAAGGCCCTACATTTACTGTAAGTATCCAGTATGGGTAAAAAATTTGCAGCTCACCACCGGCAGGAGGTGGCGTCTCCATGATTCTCGAGAGGAACCTCTTAATATACATGTATATATAAATCTAATTTAATATTTTTCTTCATGACAAGATACAGGTACAGTCATTTTCTTCTTTTATGAACACAATTCACATTTTCTCTATAAAACAATAAATACTCTAGTATACTTTTTTAATTAACTTTCTATTTTTTGTCAGCAGCATTGTCATTTGTAATTTGTATTCCACTATCGGTCACTTTGAGAGACACTTCTATTTGATCCACGCCTATTAGGTCCTCTAGCGCGCGGTCTTTGGTCTCGTGGATGCAGAAAATAGACAAACCGGAAATACACGTCACAACTCCACAAGTGAAGTACAGGAAGCCTTTGTAGGTGGCGCTCTAATAAAAAAACAACATATTTTGGGCGGTTACTAGTATATTGAATGTTACTACTAAGTACTTATAATAACTTATTGGCTGTATAAATTTTGAACAAAATTCAAATCGATAATCATCATACATGTACTAACTGTGCTGAGAGCCAGTGGTGCCAAAATAGGACCAATCCTACACAAGGAGCTGGCCAATCCGTACCCAGTGGTCCTAAAATAAAAATAATGATAATATAGGCCTACATGTCATATCACACAAAATAATGTTTAGGAAACTTCTGTCCTGATTAAACGTCGTTCTGTAGAGTTGCATGGATTTCGCCTGTTGTAACATTTAAGTATTATTTCTTGCCTTAGTACAGTTGGATAGCATTCCGTGGTGATGATAAACATACAGGACCAAGCCGCCGAACAACCCAGCTTAGCCACAAAGGCAAAACCATTAATAACAGCCGAACTGTTGTTAAAATCTACAAATAAAAATATTTTTTAAAAAGTAGAAATTAGGGCCTACAAATTGTTCAGATTTTGTTGTTCATCATGTGGTGTTGTTGTTTTGAAATTGTATTTATATCGGTGACTTTCTAAAAATTCAAAGTTGAAGGCATCTCTAAAGGTTGAAGACTGAGAATTCTAAGGATAAAAAAATTCCTCATAATGATATCAATTTAATAACTACCGAAAATTAAAACTTCTAGAAATTAGAGAATTGATCAGGGTTTTATTTCATACCGAAATTTTTTGCCAATCCAACGGCGATGCCCCCGGCTGCTGACAGTAAACTAAATATCATGTAGGACCACCTCCGCCCTATCCTGGGATAAATTCGAATATTTTATTAATGAAAGCATTAAAATAAAGCCATATCGTGCTTAAATGTCACGGTTAGGTTAAGGAACAAATAAATCATGTTTTGTATGATCATGTACTGTGTAGTTATGATATCACGTTGAGTTCATCAGGATGCTAGATAATTATATACATGTTAAACTTGGCATGGCTTGAAAGAAATTAGATAATTACCTTTTCATGAAATACCATGCGAGAAAAGACCCAGGAATTTCCAAAAAGCTCAGAACAAATATGTTGACATAAAGACTACCAGACAATTTGTCCACACCAAAAGAAATCCCATAATACGTATAAGCCATCGCCATCCTTTCAGGGGAAAAATATATTAAATTAATCTCTAAAATATCTTGAGTTAAAGATCATTACATATTTTCTTGTCATTGAAAGTCCGCTCCTAATAGCATCCAAATGCTACACTACTTCATCGTCAAGATCTCTTGATGCTGAGTTTCAATAGACATGTAACTAGGTTTAAGGATATAATTTTTTTTATACAGATAGGTTATGTAACTATATGATAATTAAGTTTAAATTTAATTTGGTTAATGTTCCATTTTGATTAAAAACAAAAAGAATTAAAGTTAATGTCATTTTTAGTAAATACGAGATAAACTTTACCATGCAAAAGACACGATTACCGCCCTTTTCAGCAAGTACCCGTGTTTACAAATATCGACCACAGTATACTTCCGGTTCATGATATTAGACTTTTGCAGAGCGCCCTCTACTTCCTGCAGACTAGGAGACGATACTTTGTTAAATTTGGAGATTCTATCTATGACCACTTTTGCCTCGTCCATCTTTTTGTGGGAGACTAACCAGCGGAAACTTTCTGGAACAATGCTGAATTAAAACAAAAGTTTTTAAGTAGTAAACATCATACGAACATTTATTGACTAGAACAAGTTGCTGTCCTTAAAAAAAAAAAAAACCACAATACGTGGTCCAGATGCATGTGTTTCTGACCGAAATTCAATTAAAGAACATTTCTAAGTTAAGTAAATATTTATGAAGGTTCGTTCACATTTTCCATTACGATCTGCCTACTTTGACTGGTAGTACAGTACTTTCATAGCAACATTGTTAAATACCTTAACAATAAACATATTTTCAGCTTGGACCTGATATACACAAATGGGTAAAATTATTCTAATGATAATAAAAAAAATATAAATAACTTTCTTTTTTCATTAAACCTGTTTGGGCGATTTCCAAATTTTTGCTGTTTCCGCTATTATAAATTTCTCAAAGTATATTACATTTATAAACAAAGATGCTGCTCGTAAACATAAGACTCAAATGGTGAATAGCTATTCACATTCAACAATGCACTCGAGTGAGAGATCATTCATAGATAGTTAGGTATTATTGTAGGGGGGTTATTGTTCATAGCATACTCACAACCAACATGCGAGAAAAGGCACAGATACGGCGCCCGTTACAATCTGCATATATCGCCAGTCAGGAAGCAGCCAGGCCAGAAGTCCATACAGAGCGGCCGCCAGAGACCACGAGGGAATAGCCTGGATCATGGGCCGGGACTTCATGGGCGTGAACTCAATGATGAAGGTCAAATAAATAGCCAAGTATAAACCGGAGGATATGCCGATAACGAATCTAAGGCTGGCAAACATCTGCCACGAGGTGGAGAAAGCGGCTACGATATTAGCCACTGCGTTTAGAAGAATTGATATGAAGAGGATTAGTTTTCTTCCGAACATGTCTGAGAGCTGACCCGACAGGTACCCGCTGATGAACAGCCCCGCCATCTGAATACTTATAATGATTCCAGGCACCCAGCTCTCCCCGCAGACAAGTCCCCACTACAAAACAAGATTGCATCCTTCTTAAAGAGGATTTCGCTCCCCCTCTCTCTCATTCTCTGAGAAATGCACATTAATAAATCGGAAAATTACGTTCATCTTTACCAATAGCAAAACAGACAAAATTATTATACAAAAATCGTTTCAAACAAATTTCAGATTACCTCGCTAATAACCGTATTCATACCGGGATCGAAATGCACTACACTGCAAGTACTAGAACCGTTCACGTTGCACTCTTTGAAAAGCAATGTAACACCAGATTCATTTCTAGCATCCTTATTTTCCTCCAATATTGAAGAGTTTCTATGATCGTCACACCACCAATCAGGAGAAGCGGCCCCAAACGTCATCATCAACACAGACCACGTGATCGGAAACTTAACAAGGTTCATAACGGTAATAATGAGAAACTGGAAGCGCCCCAAACCCCCAGTGTCCAGGAGAATGTTTTCTAAAAGATGATTCAGTTCACCAGACATTATTCTGTTGTCAAATTTTCACGAAATCCCTTGTCAGTTGATAAAATTTTCGTCCGTGTGAGTTTGCATTAATGAAGTCAATTCAAGCTCGTACCTCATTTAGGTTTTGTATGTTTAATTTTAAATTCTAGTATTCATAAACATGGCTTTATTAATGTTTTCTTACAGTTCACCTACTGGGCAGATATTTCTAGAATTTTTTTCGCTATTTATTGGATAAGAAAGCTCAAAATTGTTCAAGTGTAGTTTTTAATCTTCAATTACACATTATTTTTATTCTGGAATATTTACCATCATTTTTTTTTATTTTTTTAAATACTTTTCATTCATTTCTGTCTATTTCAGAAGGAAAATCACGACAATACACTCTATTCTGTATACTTATTTATTATCCCCACTCCAGTATACATAAAAAAAATTCATTTCGTTGTTTACTTGATAAATATATTCATAGACCACGTGACTAGGTAAACTATGTAGTAGTTACCCCATATCATACTGATGGTTATGTGTAGATACCCAATGGGCGTGGTCATAATGACACGAGGGAGCGTAGCTCCCGAGTTGTCATTATGACCACGCCCATCGGGTATCTACACATAATCAACAGTGTGATATGGGGTAAATGACTTGTACCACAGTTTTCAAAAATCATTCATATGTAAGTCAGCTTAGGACTCGGTCGGACTGGTTCGTGTGATTGAAACATTAAGTGTTTTGTTTCAAAGATGCATTTGGATTTTATATGATTTTACGCTTCTTCGTGTCCTTCTGACCACGTCCATCGAATATAGGGTAAGTGATTTGTATACAATACTTTGCAAATTTTGCTACAAATTTTGCCCTATACGCGGCACTCAGGGTCATTAAACAGTGAGGGATTTTCCTGTCAACACTTTCTGCGACACGGTACCTCTTTTTATACTTTATAGGTCTCCACGTCCCACAGTGGGATTCAACTCCTTATTTCATGGCTCTAGGGCAAGTGCTTTAAACACTTGGCCACGCAAGCGACATAAAAATTAAACATATCTAGGCCCGTTTAAAAAGTTTGATTAATGTAATTGAAAAAATAATGAGTTTGGTTTCAATGATAGATGTTAATACGATATGATTTTTTTTTCTCGTAAATTTCAATAGTCAAAAACTCAAAATTACATGCTAGTAATTTAAATTTATTATGAACTTGGTTTGGCTTAAATTTTTGTAAACGTGATACAAACTTTGCCGTGCACAGTTGTACGTTGATTGAAATGTTTGTTAGGGGTTATGTATATTTCATTTTAATGAAAATTAGATCTTTGATCGGCTAGATCCGCAATCGAAAATGTTATTTAAGTACAGTAGTGTACACTTGCTTTCACGTCAAGTATGTACCGTGTTACCTTTGTTGGTTATCAAAAGAACTATATATTAGAATCTACTTAGCTAACGTCACCCTGGTCATTACACTATTAAAAAAATGTTTTAAAAAATCAAGCGATATACTTTTAACTACATTATGTAAAGTATTAATGGTCGTTTTTAACTGTTATTTATTATAAAATGCTGTATACAATTGAAAATTTTTACTCCTTAAAAACTCTCCTAAATTCGGTATAACAAGCCCTAGTCCGAATAATCTGACGTTTTCCTGGCTTTTTTACGATTTTGATATTTTACATGCCAGGAAAACGTCAGAACCGGCGCCATTACGAAAACTGGGAATTCGCCGCCTCCAACCGGAGGCGGCATTCTCAGGTTGATTTTCGATACTTGCAAACCGAATTAAATGCTGAATTCACATTTTATCAATAGTACAATACCTTTAGTACTCATCAACATCGTTTTAACGGTTCGTTTATGAAATAATATAATCCATTAAAAACATTTTATCTGACTGTCGAGATTTATTTTCATTTCGTGCGTTTTAAAATCTTGCAACTTCTGATCGGAATATGGAGTGGTAAATTCTTTTCATCGATATTGGTGAGTTCAAGGAGCATTGTGCCATTCAGAAATTGTGATTTCTGCATCTAATTCGGTTCCCAAGTATAGAAAATCAACTTCGGGTGGAGACGGTGAAATTCCCAGTTTTCGTAATGGCGCCGGTTCTGACGTTTTCCTGGCATATAAATATCAAAATTGTCAAAAAACCAGGAAAACGTCAGACTTTTCGGACTAAACAAGCCCGTGTGATTGTTTCATTTAAAAACCGTGCATGATCGTTTTATAAATAGTTCTTTTGTCCTGACTCGATGGGCGGAGTTATAGAAAAGTGTGGGTTATGTACAGAAAACCCACTCTTTTAACAAAAGAAATCACACCTAACTATGGTACAAAAATACATCGGGTCATACGCATTCTTTATCGACTCTCGCTATAACCTCGATACACGTTAAATCGAGAATCATGAGCATGGAAACGGACCGACTGGAAGAAGAAATGTTGCAAGAAAATATAGACGAAACAGATATGTCTACAGCAGATGCCGTTTCACTATTTAACTCGTCATTAAACAAAAATTTGAATTTAAACAAGAAGGAACTAAAATTCAATTTAACTTTTGTTAAAGTCTGAAAATAAAGAAGATATTGAATCTGTTATTAAATCTGAGATTATGACCATTTACCAGCGCAATAAGATTCTCAAAATAACGGACCGCCATGGCTGGGATACGGTCCAAGAGTACTGTAAAATCACATATTTTCGTCGGTTTAAATTTTCGTGGTTTGAGTAAAAACTCTTGGTTCGTGGGGATTTGAATTCGTTGATGAAGAATTGTTGAGTAGTTATGTATGTAACATTTTACATTTCGTGGTGGACATGAATTCGTGGGTCTCTTCATACCTCAAAAACAACGAAAATTAAACCCCCACGAAAATTTGTGATTTCACAGTATTTGGATGACCCTTTAGCTGACAACGGTGTGGATGCTACAAAATTGCGTTCAGCGGTCATAAGGGCATCCAGAAAGAGGGCTAATTTCAACAAGCCTTACAGCAGAGGAACAACGAGAGGAGGATTTTTAATCCCAGGGCGTTTTTTCGTGGCTTCAGCCAAAATTTTAGACAGAGAACCGACATATGTACACTCAAAACACAGCCCAGAACACCACGCAGAACAACGACGGGTTGTGTTTCTATTGCAAGAGGCCAGGGCACATCGCAAAATTCTGTCCATTTAAACCCATTCTCTCAAGAGGAAAACCTAACACTCCAGCAACAGCCACCAGTACCAGTGCAGAATAGCAACATGGAGACAGAGCAAGTTGAGTATTTGGGCAAAAATTATGAATTCATGAATAAAGATAAAGTTGTAAAGAACAGATTGAAAAATAATTCACAAATTTGGGAAAATACATAAAATCCATCAGAATTAGTTTAAAGTACAGTAGAGTATGGTTATATTATTCCTTTTATACAAGATCCTACCTCTGTATGTCTTAAGAGTAACAAATCAGCCCTTGACAACTCTGACTTTGTAGAAAAAGCTGTGAGGGAATTACTTGATAGCAAGTGTATTTCAAAGGTTTCAGAAAGGCCATATGTTGTCAACCCACTGACAGTATCGGTAAGTGATTCTAGAAAACAAAGATTAGTTCTAGATCTAAGGCATGTGAATGAATATGTCTTAAAACAGAGAATAAAATTTGAGGGAGTTAAGGAAGCGAAACAATATGCTAAGAAGGGTTATTATATGTTCAAATTTGATTTACGTTCCGGATATCATCATGTTAAGGGGGCTCTCTACAACGTCACAACATGGCATACTTCCGTTGAAACGCCATTTTGATCACAAATGATCTGATTCAAATTCACTTAACACCGATAAATCACTGAGTATAACACAACATGCGATATTGTGGATGGAATGTACATTGTATCACCTCAATTAATACAGTGTATTGCCCAATACGTTTCCTATCTTTAAAAATGAATTGTTTGTCAATTTATTCAATTTTTACTTATTTGATTATTAAATATTATATTTCCAAACTTACTAGAATAAGATTTTTAGGTGAGAAAAAATGATATAAAAACATGGCTTGTCCATATGTAATTCATCATTACGTGTCAAAACGCTATACACTCAGAAATTTCTTTTTTCTTCAATAAACATATATGCTTTCCAGCAAAAAATATCCCTCAAAAATGCAAATTTGATAAGATAAGACATATGTATTATCTTCCCATCGATTAGAGGATACTCTTGTTCACGATTTGTATACACCCGAATGAATGGTTATTCCCGGTGAAATTTAAACTCTTCATGAAATCACCAAACCGTTTGGACAGTAAGTGGAATTTTGCATGACCCAAACGTTTGATCAACATTGATTATCAGCTGTTTGTATGGGAAACATGCAGGTTTTAGACGAAGTGTGAATTTGGTTATAGGGATTTCTTTTACCCGCTTTTGCCCATTTACCATGTTTTCATGTTTTGTTATATCTAGCACTGGATAACACATGCAAGTTGGATAAAAACGGCAAGTAAATCTACCTTTCTCAATACCATGAATTCACTAAAGACGTGTCTTTGTCATTGACTGGAAACGTGATGGTTTTCGCTTACACTAGTTTGAAAAACAATACATGTACAATACGAACTTCTTTCAATGTCCTTGCTTGAAATTTTTTTTCAATACTCGTGCAAGTTTTAGTAGAGTTTATTTGAAGTTTATAAAAAAAAAAAAAAACAGTACCAAGATATTTGAGCCCACTCTTGAAGCGGATCTCTCACATTTGAATTTTTGTGATGTTTGAAATTTTTGACAGTTTTCAATTTTGTTCAATTTCTTTTTTTTTTCATTGTTTTTACCCTTTGATATTATATATCTTTTCAGATATTGGAGAAGATCCAACCAGCTATTCTCAAGAAAATGCTGTTTTAGTTTTTTCTTTTGTCTATTTTTGTAAATTTAAATAAAAATTATGTTGATTTAATTTTTAACTTTGTTGGTTATTATTTCAATATTTTATAACATTAAAATTTGGAGAGAAATTTAAAGCACTGGGCTTTTGAAAATATAGATAGGAAGGGTTTTAACAAAATAAATAAAATATTTAAATATTTCTAA